TCATTTTATATACTCAACTGCCATATATAAGAGTTCTAATTTCCCTTACATTCTTGCCAACAGTTGTTATTATCTGTCTTTTTATTATAACCATTTCTTGTAGATGAGAAGTAGTTTTGATTTATATTTTCCTAATGACTACCAATGATGAGCATCTTTTCATGTGCTTATTTGTGACCTGTGTATCTTTGGAGAAATATTTATTCAATACTTTGTCTATATTCACATTGGGTTATTTATATTTTATTATTGTGTCTAAGAATTCTTTGTATATTCTAGATACAAGTCCCTTATTAGACATATAATCTACAAATAATTTCTTCCTTTTTTTGTCTTTTCTTTTTTTTGGATAATGCTCTTTGATGCACAAAGGTTTTAAATTCTAATTAAGTAATATTTATCTATATTTTCTTTGTTTTTTTTTTTTTTGTGTTTTGAGTGTTATGTATAAGGAACTGTTTCCTAATTCAAAGTCCTGGAGACTTACTCCTATGGTTTTTACTAAGACTTGTAGTTTTAGCTCTTATACTTAGGTTTATGGACCATTTTGGGTTTTTATATGCAGTGTGAGATAGCAGTCCAACTTCACTTTTTTGCACATGCATATCTAGTTCTTACACCACTATTTGTTGAAAAGTCTGTTGTTTCCCTTATTGATTTGTCTTAGCACCCTTGTTGAAAATCAATTTACGGTAAATATAATGTTTTATTTCTGGACTCTCAATTTTGTTCTATTGATTTGTACATGCCCATCTTTTAATGTAACATTGTCTTGATTAGCTTTTTAAAAATTTTTCATTCATTTCATTCCACTTTGCACACAGTATTTTCAGCATAATAATGCTAATACTACCACCTACTATATAATTACTAAAAAGAGTTTAAGACTTTTTATTCTATTCTTTTTATTCTCAGAATGTACAGTTGAGTTACCATGTCTTAAAATCATTAAAAATATTAATACCCTTTTTCTATGTGATTATGCCACTAATGTGAAAGATAAGCTTATTTATTTCATTGTTGTATCATTTTATAGATTGCTTTTACGTATCTAATTTGCTTTAAAATTATTTGAAAAATTTATATGGTTCCAGAGACAAATCTACACATAACTAAATTTAGAGAAGTCTAAATTATTCTTTTCAAATCAGCTATCTTTTCTTCTCTGTATGTAACTGCTGGCTTCTCAAAAGAAGACCATTTCTGTTTTTGATGTTAATTTTTCATTATTTAAAAATAAATAAGCAATGCTTACTCCACACAAGGTACACATTTGCATTATTTTTTGTAAGCAGTAGTTTATTTATATTTACTTATTTTTTGGGGGAGTTATAAAAGCCTTTTTATAAAGCCTTTTTAAACAAAGCAAAACAAAAGTTTCCAAAGGAAAAAAAATACAGAGAAAGAATAACTTTCTTCATATGTCTCAAAAAGAGAAAAAAAAGAGGGGGACAATGCCAACATGATCAACCATAAAGCGTTCTTTTTCTTATTTCTTAAATTACAAAATATAAGCAAATGATACATATACTTAAAACAGAGCTCAGGAGCAAACACAAACAATACTTTGTTTTTTCCTTTTTCTTTCTTTTTTAAAATTGTATTTTAAGTTCTGGAATACATGTGCAGAATGTGCAGATTTGTTACATAGGAATACATGTGCCATGGTGGTTTGCTGCACCCATCAACCCATCATTAGGTATTTCTCCTAATGCTGCCCCTCCCCTAGCCCCCACCCCCAACAGGCCCTGGTGTGTGATATTCTCCTCCCTGTGTCCATGTGTTCTCATTGTTCAACTCCCACTTATGAGTGAGAACATGTGGTGTTTGGTTTTCTGTTCCAGTGTTAGTTTACTGAGAATGATGGCTTCCAGCGTCATCCATGTCCCTACAAAGACATGAACTCATTCTTTCTATGGCTGCATAGTATTCCATGGTATATATGTGCCACATTTTCTTTATCCAGTCTATCACTGATGGGCATTTGGGTTGGTTCCAAGTCTTTGCTATTGTGAGCAGTGCCACAATAAACATACATGTGCATGTATCTTTAAAGCAGAATGATTTATAATCCTTTGGTTATATACCCAGTAATGGGATTGCTGAATCAAATGGTATTTTTGGCTCTAGATGCTTGAGGAATCGCCACACTGTCTTCCACAATGTTTGAACTAATTTACACTCCCACCAACAGTGTAAAAGCATTCCTATTTCTCCACATCCTCTCCAGCATCTGTTGTTTCCTGACTTTTAATGATCATCATTCTAACTGACATGAGATGGTATCTCAATGTGATTTTGATTTGCAGTTCTCTAATGACCAGTGATAATGAGTTTCTTTCATATGTTTGTTGGCTGCATATATGTTTTCTTTTGAGAAGTGTCTGTTCATATCCTTCACCCACTTTTTGATGGGGCTGATGTTTGTTCTTGTAAATTTGTTTAAGTTCTTTGTGGATTCTGGATATTAGCCCTTTGTCAGATGGAGAGATTGCAAAAATTTTCCTATATTCTGTAGGCTGCCTGTTTATGCTGATGATAGCTTCTTTTCCTGTGCAGAAGTTCTTTAGTTTAATTAGATCCCATTTGTCAATTTTAGCTTTTGTTGCCATTGCTTTTGGTGTTTTAGTCATGAAGTCTTTGCCCATGCCTATGTCCTCAGTGGTGTTGCCTAGGTTTTCTTCTAGGGTTTTTATGGTTTTAGGTCTTACATTTAAGTCTTTAATCCATCTTGAGTTAATTTTTGTATAAGATGTAAGGAAGGAGTCCAGTTTCAGTTTTCTGCATATGGCTAGCCAGTTTTCCCAACACCATTTATTAAATAGGAAATCCTTTCTCCATTGCTTGTTTTTGTCAGGTTTGTCAAAGATCAAATGGTTGCAGATGTGTGGCATTATTTTTGAGACCACTGTTCTGTTCCGTTGGTCTATATATCTGTTTTGGTATTAGTACCATGGTGTTTTGGTTACTGTAGCCTTGTAGTATAGTTTAAAATTAGGTAGTGTGATGCCTCCAGCTTTGTTCTTTTTGCTTAGGATTATCTTGACTACAAAGGCTATTTTTGGTTCCATATGAAATTTAAAGTAGTTGTTTTCTAATTCATGAAGAAAGTCAATGGTACCTTGATGGGGATAGCATTGAATCTATATGTTACTTTGGGCAATATGGACATTTTCCCAACCCATGAGCATGGAATGTTTTTCCATCTGTTTGTGTCCTCTTTTATTTCCTAGAGCAGTGGTTTGTAGTTCTCCTTGAAGAGGTCCTTCACATCTCTTGTAAATTTTATTCCTAGGTATTTTATTCTCTTTGTAGCAATTGTGAATTGGAGTTCACTCATGATTTGGTTCTCTGTTAGTCTATTATTGATGTATAGGAATGCCTGTGATTTTTGCACATTGATTTTGTATCCTGAGATCTTGCTGAAGTTCGTTATCAGCTTAAGGAGATTTTGGGCCCAGATGATGGGCTTTTCTCAATATACAATCATGTCATCTGCAAACAGAGAAAATTTGACATTCTCTCTTCCTGTCTGAATACGCTTTATTTCTTTCTCTTGTCTGATTGCCCTGGCCAGAACTTCCAATACTATGTTGAATAGGAGTTGTGAAAGAGGGCATCCTTGTTTTGTGCTGGTTTTCAAAGGGAATGCTTCCAGCTTTTGCCCAATCAGTATGATATTGACTGTGGGTTTATCATAAATAGCTCTTATTATTTTGAGATAAATTCCATCAATACCTAGTTTATTGAGAATTTTGAGCATGAAAGGGTTTTGAATTTTATTGAAGGCCTTTTCTGCATCTATTGAGATAATCATGTGGATTTTGTCATTGGTTCTGTTTATGTGATGTATTACATTTATTGATTTGCATATGTTGAACCAGCCTTGCATCCCAGGGATGAAGCCATCTTCATTGTGGTGGATATACTTTTTGTTGTGCTGCTGGATTTGATTTGCCAGTATTTTATTGAAGATTTTCACATTGATATTCATCAGGGATATTGGCCTAAAATTTTCTTTTTTTGTTGTGTCTCTGCCAGATTTTGGTATCAGGATGATGCTGGCTTTATAAAAGAAGTTTGTCTTTTCTTTGTCTATGCAGATACATACAGAGACTGGAATATGTAACAATTAAGTATCCAAAAGACCATCACATGATTCTAGCAATGCATGTTGCATCTATAATTCACAACAATGGTCAAGAAAATCATATTCACTTCAACCCCATTTTATTTTAAGAAAAAATCTTTTAAAATAAAGTAGTTACATTCAAACTTTAACTTCCTTCATACCATACTGCAGATTTCAGCACCACTAAGGTATTGCAAGAATGCCTAGGCCAGGTGCAGTGGCTCATATCTGTAATCCCAGAACTCTGGGAGGCCGAGGTGGTGGGCAGTCAGATCACTTGAGGTCGAGAGTTCGAGAACAGCCTGGCCAACAGGGTGAAACCTTGTTTCTACAAAAATACAAAATAAAACTATCCAGGCATGCTGGTAGGTGCCTGTAATTCCAGCTACTCGGGAGGCTGAAGCAGGAGAATGGCTTAAACCTGGGAGGCAGAGGTTGCAGTGAGCTAAGATGGCACCATTGCACTCCAGCCTGGGCAACAAGAGTGAAATTCCATCTGAAAAAAAGAAAAGAATGCCCAACCCTCTGGTGTATCTAGCAACATGGCAGTATGAAGAAAGAGATGCCCTGGTCTCAGCCCATGGACTAATTAATACAGTGAAGCAGGTTCCTGTCTTTTACCCTTCCTATAAGCAATAGTTTATTATACACATCTTGTATTTTTTAATTTTGTTGACCTTTTTATACTTTACTTTCTACAATGAGTAACATAAAAATTTAACTGCTCTTAATAGGTGGATGTACTGATTAAATAAAATAATGCAGAAATTGCCTAGCCTAACCAGATTTAATGATAATTCAGTAACTGTTAGTAAAAGTTGAATATGGAATAAGATTTTTGACATTGCTTATGACACATTGGAAGGGATAAGTAGTAACCTTGCCTTCATATTTAGTGTGTGGTCTTGACAAATATGACAAGGGCTACAGGAATAGCTTCATCTAATAAAGTGGAAAATTCTCAGGGAACTACTCAGTTCAAGTGTGAATTTTACAAGCTGTGTAAAAGTAGATCAAAATAATAGCAAATAATCTATATCTGTTTTTTTGCAGTACTTCCTTGGGCCAAATCATAAGCTAAAAACTGTCAAGACATGCATCATGAAGAATCATTAGACAAGAGCTGATTTTTTGACAGTAAGATGTTATATTTTCAAAAAATGTGCTGTGTCCCTTGGACATCACTGACATTACCTAGACATTTTGTTTTAAGTGTTTATAGCATCCTTATTTCTGATAGAGTGAGACAGAAAGACAGAGGAAAGAGAGGGAGGATGAGAACATAGGAAGATGGGTGGGAGGGAGACGAGAAAATTCAATGATACTACTGTGGAAAACATATCTCATTCATTCATTTATTGGACAAATAATGTTCATTGTGGGCTTGCATTGAATCACCAACTAGACTGATATTAGCATATCAATTTCTCCTTCAGTGTCTTTGCACTTTTGTAATTATTCTGCCTTTAGTACTTTTCCCAAGATTTTAAAATATATCACTCCTTCATTTCTGTGGTAGGCAGAATAATGCATCCCACACCAAAGATGTGCATGTCCTTATCCCTGGACCCTGTAAATATGCTGCTATACAGGGCAAAAGATTTTGAAGCTGTGATTAACACTAAGGACATTGAGAAGAAGAGAGTATTATACAAAGATGTGATGTTAGAATAAGAGTAAGAGAAATGCAAGGAGAAGCGACTTGATTTATCGGCTTTAAACACAGATAAAGGAGATGATGTACCAAAGAATGTGGGTAGCCTTTAGAGCTAGAGAAGGCAAAGAGACAGATTTTTCTCTTAGGGCCTCAATACCACCCTGCTGATACACTCATTTTAATCCAGTGATACTCATGTCAGGCTTGTGGCCTACAGATAAGATAATTTTGTGGGGATTTTTGTTTGTTTTTATTTCAATGGTTTTTTGGGGGAACTGGTGGTCTTTGGTTACATGGATAAGTTCCTTACTTATGATTTCTGAGATTTTGGTGCACCCCTTACTCAAGCAGTATACACTGTATCCAGTGTATAGTCTTTTATCCCTCAGCATCCTACCATTCCTTCCAAGTCCCCAGAGTACATTACCTCATTTTCTTATTCCCTTGCATCCTCGTAACTTAGAGCTCACTTATAAGTGAGAACGTGCAATATTTGGTTTCTATTCCTGAGTTATTTCTCTTGAAATAGTGGTTCCAACTCCACCCAAGTTGCTGGAAATACAATAATTTTGTTTTATTTTTTTACAGCTGAGTAGCACTCTGTAGTGTATATATACCACATTTTCTTTAACCACTCATTGGTTGATGGGCATTTCGTTGGTTTCATATTTTTGCAATTGTGAATTGTGCTGGTATAAACGTGTGTGCAAGTGTCTTTTTCATATTATGACTTCTTCCCCTTTGGGTAGATATCCAGTAGTGAAATTGCAGGACAGAATGGTAGATAAACTTTTAGTTTTAAGGTATCTCTACACTGTTTTCCACTGTGGTTGCACTAGTTTGCATTTCCACCTACAGGGGTAGTGTTCCCTTTTCACCATATCCATGCCTATATCTACTATTATTATTTTATTTTTTGGTTATGGCCCATTCTTGCAGTAAGGTATCTGATTGTGGTTTTAGTTTGCATTTCTGTGATAGCAATGTTGAGATTTTTTTTCATATGTTTGTTAGCCAATTGTATATATATTTTTTCATCATAATGGGAAGCTGAATTTTGTCAAATGCTTTTTCTATATGTATTGAGAGGATCATGTGGTTTTTGCTTTAAATTATGTTTATGTGATGTATCACAGCTATCATCTTATGTACGTTAAACCACCCCGGCATTCCTGCTATCAAACCCACTTGGTCATGGTGGATTAACTTTTTGATACACTGTCAGACTCAGTTAGCTAGTATTTTGTTGTGGATTTCTGCATCTAGGTTCATCAGAGATATTGGTTTTAGGTTTGTGTTGATGTTATGTCCTTTTCTGGTTTTGGTATTAGGGTGTTACTGGCTTCATAGAATGATTTAGGGAAAATTCCTTTTCTCAGTCTTTTGGAAATAGTTTCAGTAGGATTGGTGCCAATTCTCCTTTAAATGTTTGATAGTCTGGACGTGGGGGCTCATGCCTGTAATCCCAGCACTTTGGGAGGCCAAGCTCATGGTTCACGAGGTCAGGAGTTCGAGACCACCCTGGAAAACATAGTGAAACCCCTTCTCTTCTCTACTAAAAGTACAAAAATTAGCTAGGCATGGTGGCACGCACCTATAGTCCCAGCTACTCAGGAGGCTGAGGCAGGAGAATAGCTTGAATCCAGGAGGCGGAGGTTACGATTAGCTGAGATCATGCCACTGTACTACTCCAGTCTGAGCAACAGAGTGAGATTCTGTCTTAAATAAATAAATAAATAAAATGTTTCATGGAACTCAACTGTGAATCCATCTGGCTCTGGATTTTTTTTCACTGGCATTTTATTTTCTCTTTTCTAATTTGGATGCCCCTTATTTCCAGTACCATGCTCTTTTGTTAACTATAGCCAAATTGTCATGTTTCAATCTTGCTACATGTTATTGGTTTGTTCAGAGATTCTATTTCTTCCTGGTTTAATCTAGGAGGGTTGTATATTTCCACAAATTTATCCATCACTTCTAGATTTTCTAGTTTGTGCCTGTAGAGGTATTCATAGTAGCCTTAAATGATATTTGTTTTTCTATGGTTTTGATTATAATATCTCCTATTTCATTTGTAATTGAGTTTATTTAGATCTTCTCTCTTCTTTTCTTGGTTAATCCTGCTAATGGTCTCTTTATTTTCTCTTTTCAAAGAACCAGATTTTTGTTTCATTTATCTTTTGTATTTTTTGTTTCAATTGTATTTAGTTCTGCTTTGATTTTTTTTTTCCTTCTGGGTTTAGGTTTTGTTTGTTCTTCTTTCTCTAGTTCCTTGAAGTGTTACCTTAGATTGTTTATTTGTCCTCTTTCAGACTTTTTGATCTAGGCATTTAATGTTATGAACTTTCCTCTTAACACTGTTTTTGCTGTTTCCCCAAGGTTTTGAGAAGTTGTGTCACTATTATGGTTCAGTTCAAAGAATTTTTGAATTTCTACCTGGATTTCATTATTAACCCAATTATCATTCACGAGCGGGTTAAGTTCCATGTATTTGCAAAGGCTGTGATGGTTCCTTTTGGACTTGATTTTCAATTTTATTCCACTATGTGGTCTGAGAGAGTTCTTGATATAATTTTGATTTTCTTAAATTTATTGGACTTGTTTTGTGTCCTATTATATGGTCTATCTTGGAGAATGTTTAATGTGCTGATGAAAATAATGTATGGGCTGGGCGCAGTGGTTCATGCCTGTAATCCCAGCACTTTGGGAGGCCGAGGTGGGTGGATCATGAGGTCAAGAGATCGAGACCATCCTGGTCAACATGATGAAACCCCGTCTCTACTAAAAATACAAAAAATTAGCTGGGCATAGTGGTGCATGCCTGTAATCCCAGCTACTCAGGAGGCTGACGCAGAAGAATTGCCTGAACCCAGGAGGCGGAGGTTGTGGTGAGCTGAGATGGTGCCATTGCACTCCAGCCTGGGTAACAAGAGTGAAACTCCATCTCAAAAAAAAAAATGTATATTCTGAAGTTTTTGGGTATAATGTTCTGTTAAGTACATTTTTATAGGGTATAGTTTGAGTTCATTATTTCTTTGTTGACTTTCTGTCTTGATGACCTGTCTAATGCTGTCAGTGGAGTACTGACATCCTCTACTATTGTCATGTTACCATTTATCTCATTTCTTAAGTCTATTAGCAATAGATTTACAAATTTTAGAGCCTGAGTGCTAAGTGCATATATATTTAGGATTGTGATATTGTATTATTGTACTAATCCTTTTATCATTATATAATTTCCTTCTTTGTCTTTTTTACTGTTGTTGCTTTAAGCTGTCTTTTATCTGACATAAGAAGAGCTATTACTGGTTGATTTTGATTTCCATTTGCATGGAATAAATATCACTTTCAATTCCTTTACCTTAAATTTATATGAGTTGTTATGTGTTAGGTTAGTCTCTTGAAGACAGCAATACTTGTCTGATGAATTTTTATCCATTATGCTGTTCTGTATCTTTTAAGTGGAGCATTTAGGCTATTTACACTCAATGTTAGTATTGAAATGTGAGGTACTGTTCTATTCCATGTTAGTAGTTGTTAGTTGTTGCCCAAATACCTTGTCTTTTCCATTGTATTGTTTTTTAGATCTTTTGAGATTTATGTTTTAAGGAGGTTCTATTTTGGTGCATTTTGAGGTTTTCTTTCAAGATTTAGAACTTTTTAAAAAATATCTCTTGTAGTGCCAGTTTGGTATTGGCAAATCCTCTCAGCATTAGTTTTTCTGAAAAATACTTTATCTCTTCAAATATAAAGCTTAGTTTTACTTGATACAAAATTTGTGGGTGACAGTTATTTTTTAAGGAAGCTCATGGTAGAACCCCAATTCCTTTTGGCTTTAAGGTTTCTGCTGAAAAATCAGCAGTTAATCAGATAGGTTTTCCTTTATAGGTTACCTGATGCTTTTGTCTCACAGCTTTTAAGATTCTTTCCTTTGTCTTGACTTTATATAACCTTTATATAACCGATGATATAAAGGTTATAACTTTATATAACCAATGATTATGTACCTGGGTGATTATCCTTTTGCGATGCATTTCCCACAACTTCTTTGAGCCTCTCGTATTTGGATATCTAGATCTCTAGCAAGGCCAGGGAGCTTTTCCTCAATTATTCCCTCACATAAGTTTTCAAAACTTTTAGCCTTATCTTCTTTCTCAGGAATACCAATTATTTTTAAGTTTGGTAGTTTTACATAATCCCAAATTTCTTGGAGGTTTTGTTTATTTTTTTTGTCTCATTAGGTTAATTTAAATGGTTTTTCTTTAAGCTCTAACGTTTTTTCTTCTGCTTTTTCTACGCTATTGTTGAAACTTTCCACAGCATTTGTTGTTTCTCTAAGTGTGTCTTTTATTTCCCAAAATTGTAATTGTTTTAATGATATCTATTTCTTTGGAAGATTTTTTTTTATCATATCCTGTTTTGTTTTTTTAAATTTCTTTAAGTTGGTTTTAACCTTTCTCTGAAATTTCCTTGAGTAGCT